AAAAGGGTGAACGATAAAAAAATATGAGCTATCTATAAACATAGCTAGTACAGGGTACACAGCAGATGAGTTCATTGGATTGAACTGAAAATGAGACTAGCCACCATTAAAAGGGAAAACAACTCATCATATGACGATATCATAGCATAGACAAGTGACACATATACAACGGATACAGTTCAAACTTACTGTACACCAGTTCTTGAAGCTCCTCTGAGCTGATGTAGAAGCGCACTTGGGGAGACTGATACTAAACTGCACAAGTAAAAATAATACAGTATTTTAAGAATAACATCAAAAGATAAAGAGAAAATCGACACACGATACACCAAGTCAAAAACAACATTACTCAAAAAAAAAACATTACTCAAAACATCCAATGGATCATGCAGGATCATGCTCATGCATGATCACTCCCACGAAATAATACTAGATATACAAAAATACGACTTATAAACAAAGCCTTACATGTCCAGAGTGAATGAGAGAAACCAATATGTACTTTTTATACGCCTCAAGTGCTATAGCGTTGACAGTATGCATTGGCGCAGTGACAACCTGAAAAAAGTACTCGATCGAGTCAAAACAGAAGCAAATGTCCATAATGGCTAAAAAGACAAGTAAGAAAGCAATAGTGTTTGGTAAGGGTCTATCATCAGATTTTCCATTCATCTTCCCAACACAAGGCTTGGCTAAGCTTGCTTTACATTCACTTATCTTCTCAGTAACAGGAAGCGTATTCAAATCTTTAAAAGTTATACTCGCCACACGTGAAGTTACCTGCGTGAATAATTAATCAACGCACGGTTAAATATGATTTGCTACTTAACACAAACACATTATTCTCGAAATTACTTCACACACAGTGTTACATCCATGTCAGTAGTGTGTGCTTAGTTAACAAGAAAGAAAGCCTAACAGCATTAACAGCATTTGATCTGGACAGCCTACAAAAGTACAAAGAATCTGCATCAGATGAACCACCAGGAATGAACCAAATATTGATAAGACAAAACAGAGTCATGTACACAAGGATAGATAAAAAACAAAACATTGATAACACAAAACAGAGTCATGTAACTTTAAGTACTAAACTAGTCTTTTTCAACCCTTCCAACGTAACATTAACAACATCAACAACCCTAGACCTCAAAAAAAGCGCAGCAACCTCCCTAACACCCTCCCCACCACACTCCTCAACCGCCACAACACAAACCCCACCTCTCCTCACCGTCCTCTCCATCTCCTCAACAACCCTGAGAAATACACACAGAGAGAGAAAGGTATAAGCAAACAAATAACACACAACAAAAAAACAAAAGCTACTGTTGAGAGAGACTTGCAATACAGTTTTCTCAAAAAGCAGAGAAAAATGATATATTCTCACCGTTAACATAAAAATGACGTCTGATAACATCACGAACTCTGAAACTCTGATCCACGAAACCACCACCATCGAACTCGTTCCCCATCTCCTCCACCGTCGCGCAGAGCCTACCTCCATCGACCTTAGCTTCTACCACGGAGGAAGAATTGATCCATCTCGCGTTATCCTCATCTGAAACACCCTCGTTGTCGTCGTCGTCATCGATGAGAAGCTCGCAAGCTTCCCGCACTTTAGCCATGGCTGTAGGCTGATCCTCCGCCGTCACCGATGGTAGAATCCGAGCTTCTCCCCAGTCGACGCATCCGCCGCTGAACTCGATTCGATTGGGATCGCCAAGTTTCGTAAGGAATTGTAGATCAGGTATGTTTAATTATTTAGGGCATAAAGGTCTTTTTTCTATTAAATTTTTGATGGTAAAGATGGTTAAGGTATAGATAAAATGTGGTATGATGAAAGTGGTATTGGTCACAATTTCCCTAAAAGGTTGGAGTTCAGGATTGATAATTATATATTTATACTAGGATAAGACATGCGACTTGCGCAGAGTAAATGTATGTAATTAAAATATAAAATTTTAGTATTGGAAAATTTAAAATTTACAGATGATTTATTTTTATTGTATTTGAAATTTTAGAATTTTAGAATTTTTATATAATTATCTATACGTAGCATCAGAAACAATTGTAATTAGAACTGTAGATCAAAACTTAGAATTTGATGGACCCGATTTCATATATCTTTTCACTTTTCAGCGATCGAGTGATGGAAAATAAACGGAATGTCACTGGGCTTGACTGGTAGAGTACTAGCAAAGTCCCTAATGTTTTCTTAAGAAGCAGTTGGTAAAATATTTGCATTTAAAATATATAAAGTTTCAAAACTAATTTATTATAATTTATTTATTTGTCTAATAATATTATAAATTATATTTTTTACAAATTATATTTTTTAAATAATAAATTTATAAAAAAATAAGTTAAATTTTAAGTTATTTTAAAACAATATTTTAAGTTTTTCAAATACAAATAAACAATTTAAAATTAATTAAGGTCATGATTTAGCATAACCATAATGATTTAAAAAAAAATTAAAAATTAACTCAGTTTTATATCATGATTTAAAAATTAACAAATTAAAAATTAACTCAGTTTTATATCATAATTTAACAATTTAAAAATTAATTATGGTATGAGAAGTTTACGTTCATGTGTCAATCCTATTTATCTTCAATTTTTTCTCTTGTTTAATTTTTTTGGTTATTACTCGATGTAAATATTTATTTTGAAGTTTATTCTCATTTCGTTTGTTTGTTTATTTTGACCTGGGATTTAGAAAATATTTAAGATATAAAATAATTAAAGATATACATACTTAGTTTAAAATATGCACTTTATGCACAATAAATATTTTATATTTAATATTTATTTATATTTTTCTGCATATCATAAAATAATAAATATATATATATATATATATATATATATAAGTAAGAAATCAGTTACTATTATGTAATAAATTGGTGTATGCATATAAATTGAACTATCACTCTTGTTTATTCACAATTAGGGTAAATAAATCAAATAATCAATCTTATATAATGTATGATATATAATTAAATTTAAATGATATAAACATAGTAATATAGCACACTTTTAATATGGATATTTATTAAATGAGGTTTCTACTCATATGATTTTATGATTATTTGCATATTTGTGTCACAAAACTTTACCCAACGAATTTCTTTTAATGTGAGATGTTTAGTAGTTTTAATAATTTATAATCAATTTTAAAAAAACAATGACATATTTCAAAATTAAAATATTAAATTTTCAATGCAAATATCAAAATATAAGTATGTATTTTCATACATTGTATAGTTTAATTTAAACGATATGAAATATATATAAACTAAAATTATTTCTTCATATGGTCTTATAATCATTATATTTTAATATAGAAAAAAAATTATAATATTGATCCTAAAAGTTTATGTGAGACTTTTAACAGTTTTAGTAATTTATACTCATTTTGAAAAATTCAAAATACAACATACAGAAGAAAAAAAATCTAGATTTTTATTATATGATTAATGTAATTATGTAATTTATTTTAATAATAAAGAAATAAATAAAATGATAAAAAATATACAGATTGTTATCAAATATTTATTGTTTAAAATCATTAATTGTCATATATATATTTTAATCACATTAGCTAACTACGTAGGTTTTATTTAAGGAAAGTATGCGAAACAATAAATATTTGATATATGCGATCAACTAAAGCCTACGAAATATTATATTGCCAGAAAATATAACTTTTAGACTATATATTATATTACATGTTTTAAAATCCTTCTAAATTAAAATAAAAGACAAAGAACTATGCCACATAGTATTGGAGTTATTTTTAGTTATTACAAACTTAAGGTTATAATTTTTTAAATGATTCTCTTTTAATATATAAAGGATATGCAATAATACACAATACTGTCTCATCGGCTTATGAACACGTAGTTTAGTGAATTTTGATCAATCTATTGAAAGTTTCAACTTACAAAATTCTTTAACAAAGTGTCTGGATGAGAAGTCAAATAATTGGAGATAGTACTAATGAGTAATCTAACTTTTATTCTATAATTTGGATTAAGATATTATACCATATATGTCTAGTGAAACAGTAACAATTTAATTTCCAGTTGGATTAAATTTCTCTTTTAATAATTTGGGTGGCCTATCTCATGTTTCTGATAAGCCACCCTCACACTCTGCATATGTGGCATCTTCCACTATCCTGAAGCTATCGCTATTGGACCTTGGAGAATAACCGAAAAAGTCATGCATTTGGTTTGGTCCCTATTTTTCCCAAATAGCGGTAGCTTCAGGATAGTGGACTCTGACCAACCACCACATGATCTCCAAATAATTCTTCCCTCGGATACATCATCATGAGCCGGATTAAAGCTAATAATCCTCTCCATCTGACTTATCCCTTGTTACAACGTCTTCAAATCTTATCCACTAGTAAAATTTCATCGCATAGCCACTACAATGTCGTGGCTATATAGCAATAATTCGTGGCTATAAAGAAAAGAGCCACGCTTTCAGATTAAAAAATTACAGTGGCTATAGCCTCGTGGTTGGAAAAAGATCGTGGCTAAACGTGGCTAATAGCCACGGTTTTACCATGCTATGTCAGTGGCTTAAATAGCCAGGATAATTAAAATGTTACAGTGACTATACTAGAAAAAAGAAAAAAAAAAAAGAAATAAAAGCAACAAATAATTTTTATTAATTAATACTAAAACATAAAATACACATTATTATATATGCTATACATAAATACATATATATACATACAAATACACCACCACCGCACCACCAACTGCCACCGCCGCACCACCACCCGCCACCGCCGCACCACCAACTGCCACCGCCGCACTACGCTTCACCGGAGGCGTCACACTGTCACACCATTTGTTTCTTCCGTTCCATCATCTTCCCAAACCACCACTTCTCCTTTCCTTCATATCAGATTCACCATGGCCTATACACACAGAGCCAAGAACAAATGAAACATTAAACAAGAACTCAGTTTTTTGGCATCTAAGAACACAAAGAGAGTCAAGAACAAAGATGAATACTTTATGAATCACAACTTACACAGATATAAAAATATGTTTAGATCGAAAAAAATGAGGAGAGAAGATTTGGTACCTCCTCTTGAGTAACTCACGGAAGGAGTAGAGAGAAGGGAAGGGTCAGGTCTTCTCCACCTTCTGCTCATTCTCAGATCTATATAAAAAAAAACAAAACATATCAACTAGAAATAGGAAGAAGAGGAGGAAGACGAAGCCAGAGAGGAGGAAGACAAAGAGATGTAACCAGTGGTGATGGCGAGGAGGTGAAACCGGTGAGGAGATGGAGCCATGAGTTAGATTGTTACAGAGAAAGAGATAGAATGGTGAAAGAAGAACAATCCAACGAAGGAGAGGAAAAAGGAAAGAAACAAAAATGAATTTAATCTGGACCCTTCATAATTTTAATCTAATGGTTAATACTGCAATCCACACACCTCATTCTTATTGGTTAAGAAAAGAGAGGTTTGGAGAAAATAAAATAAAGAAATAAAAAAATCTGTGTGTTTATTTATGTTGTTTAGTTTTTATTAATGTCTATAATTAAAAAAAAAATAGTTTATACTTTTTAAAACAGTGATGATTCTTCATATACTTTGATCATTTATTTTATAAAAAATGGTTAGATTTAAATGTAAGAGTTTATGGTTTTGTATGTAAGTTTAACTTTGGGGTTTAGGGTTTGAAGTATGATATAGGGTTTGAGTTTATATGATATATGGTTTGAGATAAATTTTTGAAATGTTGTATATAGTTTGAAATGTTGTATATAGTTTGAAATATATTTATCTTATAGGAATTATATTTTATTTGAATTTAAGATTTTATGTTTTATGATATAGATATATTTTGAAGTATGTGATTTATAGTTAAGATATTTAACTAAGTATATGATTTGAAATTGTTTTGAAAATATTGAGTTTATAGTTTTATATTTAAGATTTGGAATTCATATAAGTGTGAAAATGAAGTTTGAAAATATTAAGTTTGCAGAGTGAATGTTATAATATATGTTTGTAAGTTTATGGTTTAGTGTGTGTTGGACAACAGTTATAAATAAGTGTTGGATATTAGACTTAGGTAAATTAGTTAAATTTTAATTAGATATATTTGTTTAGAATATATAAGATTTGGGGTTTGGAGTACAAAAGATAAAATGTTATGTTTAAGATTTAGAGTTTGTGAAATAAGATTTGATTTATAGATGTTAAAAGTTAAATATAGTAGAGCTAAAATAAAAATAAAATAAAATAATATTAAAGTTTGAAATATATAAGGTTTGGGTTAAGAGTTTAAAAGATAAGAAGTTATGTTTAAGATTTGGAGTTTAAGAAATAGGGTTGGATTTATAAATTAAGATAAAAAATAAAGTCTTATATTTAAGTTTTGAGTTAAAATTTTAAATACTATAATTGGAGTTTGTATTTATGATATATGGTTTTAAGGAATGGAGTTTATGTTTAGGATTTAACAATAATGTTTAGGGTTTAGGGATTTAAATAGCCACGAAAAAGTCGTGGCTAAAACGTGGCTATAGCAGTAGCCACAGATGTAACCGTGGCTAAACTGTGGCTAGATAAATGTTTTAGCCGGGAAAATATGAGAAAGGTAAGCGGGAATGAAAATTTTACAAAGTGCCACAGTAAAACAGTGGCTAAATCGTGGCTAAGTATCTAGCCACGATTATATACAGTGGCAACATCGTGGCTATTTAGTTTTACCGTGGCTAATTTACAATCGTGGCTAATATGTGGCTGGACCGTGGCTTTTTTAATCTAGCCACGTTTTTAGAGTGGCATTACCGTGGCTATGTAGAAGATTTTTACTAGTGATCGGCCATGAGTTGAATCAGTTAATGCGTACTTTTCAACATCTTCAAAATCAATACCATCCTCTACGGGATCTGTGTTCTCAGTCATACTGCACTTAAGAGGAGGGTAATCATATATTAGGAGCTAGTTCATACTCAAAATGATTGTCCAACATGCCCGTGTTACGACTAAGAATGTTCTTCTCCCTATCAAAATCAAACTCAGCGAACCCATAACTCATCATTCTATGCTTGTAAGCCTGAGTTCCACAAGTGTGAGCTTGAATAGACTGTTTCCTCTTATAAAGCAAATATTCCAGAGCTAAAAGCTCATGCTGATGATCATGCTCCATCTTCTCCTCAGCAAAGCGCTTAAACTGTCTCAGGTCCATTTCAATCTCTGCCTTTTCCTTCTGCAACCTCAGTATCATACACATTTCCTCGTTCGCAGCTGTGGAAGCAGCGTTCTGCTCTTCGTCAAGCTCAGCATACAACTTTGAAATCATTTCCTGTTGGGAGCTTGTTACCGGTAAACGACTTCACATAGCAGACATATATGAATAACAAACACTATCTAAAAACAATTTTTTTTTTTTTAAAGTGAACTATGAATTTTAACTATAAAATGAAAAGAACCCACATGGACGTGCATCCCACAACCAAACCTAAACTCATAAACAAACTCATGGTTGTTTTACTTTTTGAACCGAAAAACAAAAATTACAACGAAATCCGAACTAATAGAAAACCAAAAATATACAACCTGAAGACGAACCAAACATCTATGCCTAAACATATTAGTAAAAAAATATTTACTAATAAATTTATTAACAGAAAATTAATTTCGTGCTTCGAAGCGCAGGTTTTATCATAGTTTATGTTACATTACAAACTGGCTTTTACCATAAAGCTATCACTTCTTGATTAAGTTTTACTAGAAGTACGGTTCAAAGTTTTCATTGTGACATCGTGTAAAATAACTGTGTGATAATATGAAATATATATATATATATATATATATACTAGGGTTGACCAACCTTATGGACGGGTTATAATAAAACTATTTTATATGAATTTATATAAATTTTATGAAATATTTAAAATTATTATAGATTGAAAATAATATTATAAATAAACAAATAATGATGAGTCCAAAGAAAAAAAAAGAAATAAGGAAAAGAATTCTGAGATCAAATTTTTATTTTTAATAAATATTTGGATTAAATCAAAATGACAATAGTCTTTGCTATTCTCTATTTTATAGAGAATACAAAATTAAAAAAAAAACTCAGAAAATTTTAATAATATATATATATATATATATATATTATTATTTTAGTATCTCTATTCCAACTTGATATAACAAAAATCTCAAGTTTAAATAAATAATACTATATTTATTTCAAGAAGATCCATATTAAAAAAAAATATTTATACAAATTATTTCTTTCATGATAATATTTTAGTGATTTACTGTTTATGTTTTTTTTACTTATTTTAAGCTTTGTTAAATTCTTTTTAATAATAAAATTATTTGTTAGGAGTGTTTTCTCATGCTATTTTAACTTATTTCTTTATAATAGTATTTATAAATTAATAAAATAATATACTTATATAGCAGATTTTTACTTTAGTTACATAACAATTCATATAAAATAATTTATTGGAGGAAGTTGGCGTGAAGCAAAACATAACCAAACAATGAAGAACTAAAATAATATTTAGATTATTCTCAATTAAAAGTGATTTTAATATACAGTCACCATTTGTTTTTGTTATTCTTATTTAAAATTATTGGATTCTAACTAATAAGAATTTTTTTTATTTTAATCATGTAATTATTTTACATTTCTCAATACTTTTTTTTGTCTCTATTATAATAACAAATAAAATAAAAATATTCAGAATTAAAATTACGATTCAACACACAATTTTTTCTTTCTAATATAGATATCTCTTTGAATACATTGTACACTTTTTCTTTGGAATCTATTGTTCTAAATTATGCAAAAAGTAAACTTTATTATTTTCCATTCAACTTGATAACTTACCACATTACTATTTAAAGATTTACATATTTATTTTTCCAAAATAATTAAGACCTTTTAAAACAATTATTATTATTTAATATTAAAGGTATATTTAGTGATTATATTTCTTTTGATTTTATTTTGTAATATGAATTTTTAAATTGATTATATATCTATATATAATCATGGTTATGGACTTACAGGTAAAATTTATAGTTAAATTAACTGCTGACCAATTAAACTATGGTTAGGAATAGAAAAGACGGAGAAGAGTATAATAACTTTGGGATGACTTAATAATTCTAGTAATAGACATGAGGACTTGGACCTTTGTTGAGAGGATCCATAAGAAAATTATATGAGATGAGCCTGTATATAACATGTAATGGCACTTCAATGAGGAGGTTAAGAAGCACCTTGTAGTTGCACATGTGAAAAACGGAGATCTAACAATATCTGACATTAAATAAATAAGACTTCAAAGATCCCCTATGAACCGTTTAGTAATAGAGATGATTAAACGGTGGTTGGCTGGTACACTCGGTTTAGCTTATATGGAACCGAAGCACATGACCATAAGAATTTGATTATACAATAGTCTCACAAACCTGCAGTCCAATATGTGAAGGGTCTTGCATTATTTCACCATATAAATCCGGCTAACCTGTAATAAAGCACACATTAATCATTATACGAAACATGAGAATCAAAAATCATATTCACATTCCCTAGTAGTTAACTGAGTGTACCTCCCAACCATCTTCTATGCTGTTAAAGTCTCAATGGGTCACTGAGAAGCCATATCTACGAGAAGGTGAACTCATGTTGCTTCGGTATCTTTGGCTTCCACACATTTATAGGTTCTTTAGCTCCATAGTAATTACTCTCTTTCACATAAGCTATCGCACGCTACAGTTCAACAAACCAAAACAAATAACACATCTCAGATAGAAACCAACAAAAAAGAAAAACTTTGACTCATCTGATGACCGCGTTGGTTCATGAGGTCAGGTTCCTCAGATTTAGGAAAAGAAAAAGTTCTATGCTTCTTCTTGCCATATCTATTGAATGAAATTTCTCTAAATACATCATCTTCCATTGTCCTCCTCATGGGAATGGTTCACTCGGCACATTTTTCATATCCATGCCATAACTGAGGGATATGTATGTCCTTTTATTTCTAACGGCGTAAAGACACTTTGTTATCATCGAAGAGTCCCTCGGGATGGTAATTATGCTTCATTTAAATAAGAATCGCAAGTAAACTAACCATCAGCACTTAAAACATAAAACAGAACACCCAAATAAAATCTAAGTAAATGTTGTATCTATGTACCTGAATCTTGTGATCTTTGAGTAAAGGATGATCAAAAGCTGGTTGTTTTGTGATAGGAACACATGCGATTACATCTCCTTCAATGGTTTGTTAATCACATCCAACTCAATTATAACTTATTGTTCAATTAGAACAAACATAAACAGAATTAAAAGGTAAAAGAAATAGAAACCGGATTATGATACTTACCAAAACCAGCCCAAGCAGAAAATACACAAAAAGAAGAAGATAGTAGATCTATTTCACCAAAATACTCTTGACAGCAGGTTTGCTCAACCTGTTCAAATGCTTATTCAGTTCAAACTTCTGTTTAGATATGCTGGACCTTGCGGTGTAAGATATCCAGACAAACCTCCACAGCCATAAACACTAAGGAACTTCTAGCTTGCTTCTCCTTGCAAGCTGGCATGATTTAAGATAACAAAATTTTCTGGGTATAATTTTGATGATGAAGACATGAACAAATTGGTCTCCATTGAACGAACTATCAAGCTGAAAGTTTTGATAATCAAAACATGTTCAACGCTAGACCCTGATAAATTTGATCATCAAAGCTATGCCTGACCCATATAAAGAATAAAAAAATAAAAAAACTACATAGTCAAGGCGGAATTACCTTTGCGCCTAGAAAGAGAAAAAAAGAACTGATGCATTTCACGGATCAAGCATAACTTTTTATAGTTCAAGTTTTTGGTGAAAGCAGTAAATGAGGAAGCAATGAAGGATAGATTGACAATAGTTGATGACTGTATTGAAGACGACCCTTTGTCTAACCACAAAACAAAACGTTTTTAGTTTTTCTCAATCACGAAGATGAAGAGAATCATTGATAAGGGTTTCGGTGAAAATTTTACCGGAAACAGTGGAGTCTCATAGAATAGACCAAAAACAATACATAAACCTATAGAAAAATTAATTTGCCAAGCCCAGATGATAGCTAATCAAAAGTGCTTAAGAATTAATTACGTTAGAGTGTAATAAAACACTGCGATTTAAATGTTGAAAACATGTGTCACGTCGAGGTTAAATGTAGGTAGGAAAACCATTCTTTATATAATAAGATATATATATATATATATATATATATATATATATTTTAAAGTATTTCATTTTGTCAGCGCCAATTGTTAGAAAATGTTACACATTTTCAGTAATATAATAAGTGGTTTGACCATTGCTAAATTTTACGGTTATGGATTGAGATGTGCATTTAAATCGATGTAGTGAACAAACTTGAATCTCCTATATATTATTTGATAATCATTTAAAAAATGTTAACCAAGTTTGTAAGAATTAAAGATAACCTCAATCATATGTGGCATACCTCTTTGGCTTCTATTTCAAATCACAGGGATTCTAGAGCATGTGATATAATGTATAGTATAAAAATTATATTCTCTAGCAATATAATATTTCGTAGGCTATCGTTGGTCGCATATATCAAATATTTATTTTTTCGCATGCTTTCCTTAAATAAACCCTACGGTATGATTAAAATATATATGACAATTGATGATTTTAAACAATAAAGATTTGATAACAATTTGTATACTTTTTTCATTTTGTTTATTTATTTATTATTAAATAAATTACACAATTACATTAATCATATAATAAAAATCTAGATTTTTTTTGTGAGTATGTTGTATTTGGAATTTTTCAAAATGAGTATAAATTACTAAAACTGTTAAAAATCTCACATAAACTTTTAGGATCAAGGTTTTCATTTTTTATATTAAAATATAAGGATTATAAAATGATTATAAATTATTGAAACTACTAAACATCTCACATTAAAAAAAAATTCATTGGTGTAAAGTTTTGTTACACAAATATGCAAATAATCATAAAATTATATGAGTAAAAACCTCATTTAATAAATATCTATATTAAAAGTGTGCTATATTACTATGTTTATATCATTTAAATTTGGTTATATATCATATACAATATATAAGATTGATTATTTTAATTTATTTACCCTAATTGCGAATAAACAAAGTGATAGTAAAATTTATATGCATATGTCAATTTATTACATAATAGTAACTGATTTTTTAGTTATTTAATATATATATTTATTATTTTATTATTTTATAATATGCAGAAAAATAGAAAATAAATAATAAATATAAATATTTACTGTGCATAAAGTGCAGATCTTAACCTAAGTATGTATCTCTTTAATTATTTTAAATCTTAAGTATTTTCTAAATCCCAGGTCAAAAAAACAAACGAAATGAGAATAAATTTCAAAATAAATATTTACATCGGGTAATAACCAAAATATAAAAAAATAAACACAACAAGAGAAAAAATTGAAGATAAATAGGATTGACACGTGAACGTAAACTTCTCATAACCATAATTAATTTTTAAATTGTTAATTTTTAATTTTTTATAAAAATTTTAAATCATTATGGTTATGTTAAATCATGACCATAATTAATTTTAAATTGTTTATTTGTATTTGAAAAACTTAAAAATTATTTTTAAAAATAATTTAAAATTTAACTTAATTTTTTTGTAACAATTATTTTTTTAAAAATTGTAAAAAATATAGTTTTCTAATATTATTGGATAAATAACTAAATTATATTAAATTAGTTTTGAAACTTTATATATTTTAAATGCAAGTATTTTACCAACTGCTTCTTACGAAAACATTAGGAAATTTGCTAATACTCTACCAATCAAGCCCAAATGACACTCCGTTTATTTTCCGTCACTCGAACAGTGAAAAGATATATGAAATCGGGTCTATTAAATTCTAAGATTTGATCTAAAATTCTAATTACAATTGTTTCTGGTCCTACGTATAGATAATTATATAAAAATTCCAAAATTCTAAAATTTCAAATACATATAAAAATAATCATATATAAATTTTAAATTTGTCAATACTAAAATTCTATATTTTAGTTACATATATTCATCCTGCGCAAAGCACATGTCTTATCCTAGTACGAAGTTATAAACGTCAAAGATATTTAATAAGTTGAGAAATCAAAAACTCCCCAACACCTTCACATGGCGCGCAGCCGCGCACACACGCTCTCTAGACTCTGGCCGTTGTATCATATCATGTCATGTGTCCACACATGTCAACAATATAATGTCTTAAGTGTTAATATTAGCTACATCCTCGGAATTTATTTTGTTATTTTTTTTTTTAATTTTTCCTATACATTATTTTATTATCTCAAGATTGTTCACCAACAAGTACAAGATGCTCTGAAGTTAGCTGGTTCTGTTTGTGTTTAACGAAAGATAGATTACTATAATCTGTATTGTTGGGTGAATGAAGAACCAAAAAACATATTTAACGATCCAAAATCTTGATTTCTTGCGTGTTGGTCGCCGTACAAACGTCAACGCTGTTAGGCCTCCGTATATAAGCAAATCTGGATTTTAACTTTTGTTATTATACAGTATTCGGCGATAGTAAAGCCTTTGAGAGTTTGTTCAACACACGCACTTCTAATTTTTTCCCCACTCTTTTTAGATCTTGTTGGGATAGAGCTTTCCGGTCTCCAGTGTACTTTGTCGGACTGTGTGGAGGTGTACCACCCTTCCTTTGGCATCAGTTCGTCATGAAAAAGCAATCGAGACTTTTGATATTTCATATAGAAAATCGATTTCAAGAACACAAATCTAATATTTCAACAAATAAGAATAATTCTCTTATTAATCTTTTAAGAAAAATAACTGAAAACCTTAAATTCTCTTAAAACTCATAAATTATACCATACACTAAAAATTCATTATATAGGATTAGATAACTCTTAAACCTAATAGAATTAACATATTTTGAAATTTTCTAATATTTTTAGTAAACCATAGTTCGGTAGGATTATGATAGCTTCTTTCTTAAGTTATCTTCAAACTTAATCCAACATGCTCTCTTTTAAGCTTGCATCACATTCATTCACATCTTGAACTCCAATAAGATTCTTCATGTTTTTGGACTTTAATCTTCCAAACGACTTAGTCATAATATCGGCATTTTGCTCACTATTAGGAACATGCTCAACTTCCAATTGCTCATTCTCAACATACTCTCTTATGAACTGAAATATTCTATATATATGGTTACTTTGACCATGAAACACAAGATTCTTAGTAAGTGATATTGCAGATTTGTTATCAATCTAAATAGTCATTTTCTAGTACTCTCTTCCAGCTACTTCGGCAAAGAGTTTTTAAAACCAAATTTCTTGTTTTGCTGCTTCCATCGCTGTCATAAACTCAGCTTCACAGGATGAAAGTGCAACAATCTCCTGTTTCTAGAAACACCACATAATATAGCATCTTTCAAGATAGAAAACATGACCAGTTGTCCTCATTCCATCATCTGTATCCGCATTGTGGCATCGGTTATTGTCGCTGTAACCTTTTAGTCTTGTATCTTTTGACCGTTTGTACGAGAGACCATACGACATAGTTCCACACAAGTATTATAGTACCTGCTTTAGTACAACATCATAAGATTCTCTTGGTTCTTGCATGTAACGACTAAGCATCTCTACAACAAAAGAGAGATCCGGACGAGTATGTAGTAAGTATCAAAGACACCCAATGCTCTGGTCTATACTCTTTCTCACTGATCTGTTTCTCTTCCAAACATTTTAATAGCTTAATATTTGGCTGGTACTTGGCATGCATTACATATCCATTCCTGCTTCAAGGTTATACCATCTCTATGTTGGAGTACTTCAATGCCGAGGTAGTAGGTTAAATTTCCAAGATCGGTCCTCTCAAACTTTGTAGCCATCGCTTTCTTGAACCCGAGTACCATCTCCATATTAGACCCAGTGACTAAGAGATCATCGAAACAAGAAGATGATCATTTTTTTGATAAAGCGATTGTTCTTTTGAGTACTTAACGAAGCCTAACTCTTTTAGGATCTCGTTCAACTTAATGTTCCAAGGTCTTGGAGCTTGTTTTAGTCATAGAGTGATTTGTTAATTCTATACACTTTTTCTTCAGTCCTTTGATCTCAAATCCTTATGGTTGTCTTACGTATACAGCTTTCTTTAAATCACCATAAAAATGCAGTTTTGACATCGAGATGATGTACTTTCCGGTAATTCGAGGCTGAAAAAGCAAGGATGAAACAGATGGTCTCAATTCGTGCAGCAGGCGTAAAGTCTTCATCAGAGTCAATACCATGTCTTTGTACGTAATCCTTTGCGTCTAATCTTGCTTTATATTTGTTCACACTTCCATCAGGGTTACATTTTATTTTAAAAACCCACTTTAGCCCAATTGTTTTGGCTCCAATGAGTAGAGTAACCAGGTCTCATGTTTTATTCTTGATTATAGAAGAAATCTCATCTTCACATGCTATTATCCATTCTTTTGATTATTTTGCTTCGTTGAAATCCCATGGCTCCTCATTGATCATA